GCAAACTTTCTGTGCCACCTGGCCCTAGAGACCTCTCCTTTCCGAGGATGTGTAGCCATAGGCAGACTCCCTCTTTTCCTACTTTTCTCTCCTTATCGCTCAGCTTCTAAAAAATTCCAAAGGGCGTTATCTTGCCGCGTGAGTGAGAGCGGCTGCAGCTGCACTTTGGAGACAATTATCTGCAAATTAGTGCGTGTCCACACCAAACACAGATAAGACTGAGACACACACGCGCAGCCAACAAATGCTGAAGGACTCACCCACGGACCGACAGCTAATAGCACATCCTGCGAGGTTTTTCTCTGTGACTGAAACGCACTTTGAGAAACTTTCTTCCAAAGCAACAATTTAATCTGTATTCCTAAGCTTGCTCATCGATGCTTGGGACCTCTGTGAGATGTTTCTGTTTCCTGCACTACCTCCTACCTACCCTCAATCCATTCCCATCACCTGGCCTGTTTACCAAACCCTAACATGTATTTGAATTTTCAAATGTGTGCTTGCTTCTAAAGTCCTTTGATCTGTCGGTTTAAATCTTCACTGTTTTGGTTTTGTTTGTTATAGGTTTGGGATCTGGGTTTACTCTTCTTCCAAACCATCATGGTCATTCGGTATGCAGATTCAGTTTGCCCTCTCTGTACTTCCTGCTTGCAGATCACTTCAGATTTCAGCCAAGCTCTTCAGCACCGCCAGCCTTTAGAGCCTCTTCCTGCTGGCCTCTGCCACTGTGCACTCTGCTTTCCCTTCGCACAGAGCAGCCTGCGGTGTCCTGCAGGGAGCACACCCTTTCCTGCCTCTATCCAAAGCCTTTCGCCTCCATCCTTCCTCCCCACTCCATTCCTCATTCTAAAGACAACCCTGCCTCCAGGATAAGCACCTAGGCTGATGGGCAAGAAGTCTGGTATCCATCCAATAGCTAACAACCTGTTCTTCCCCTGAAACACTCACTGAACAAATGAATGATTGCTTTCGTTTAGTGCCTCCTGCCTGCCAGGCTCTGCTCGGCGACCGCAGCAGTGGAGGTGTTGCCTGGGAAGTGATCAGAAAAGGTTTCTGTTGTTACCGCGATGGACAGCCGCCCAGAGAACACAGACCCTCCTTCCTACTCCCACTGTGAGTTTGGTGTTGATCTTAGCCCTTGTTGTACTTGCTCATCACCCTCAGCCCTGGAAGTGTCTTGAGGTCAGAGCCTGAGTATTTTGCCAGTTTCAAGGTCAGGGGCTTTCAGTGCAGTCTGTAATCTAACCCCACAGCGACACAGTGAAGCCAGTATCATTACACTACTTCATAGATCAGGGAACAAGATCGTAAAGATATGAAACAAGTTGTCAAAATTACATAGCAGTGTATGTATGTAAACCAAGCCCAGCCCCCACAGCTGCCTGAGCCAGAGCCCCAACTTTAATAGCTGCTTGGTGAGAGGAGTGCCCCCCCTCCCTGGGTACCTGGAGCCATAGGACTGTAGTCTGCACACAGTTTTTGGTAACCCTCTGGGTATACAACAAAACTGTAATCCACAGTTAGGTATACATAGACACTTCCTTTCATCCTTGTGATCTCCCTTAGCCTATTGGGGACTAGGGAACCAGAAAGTTTGAAGCTTGCCAGCTCCCTGTATTACAGCATCTTTCAGATTAGGGACCTTTGAGCTCCATCTCTTAGGTAAATAGCCAATTTCTAAGTGCCTACCCCCTTTCCCTGAGGTCTGGGGACTGAATGGATGTGAAGGTCTTATAGAAAGCCAGAAGGTGGGTGGGGTGGGACCGCTGGTCCCATGCTACTCCTTGAATTTGCAAAATGTCTAGTCCTGCTGAGGTGTTCTGGTCCGGTGCCATCCACAGGCATTCTGTTGGTGTTTTATGCTGAACTCTCTCTCTCTTTTAACTTTATTTACATTGGTGTAAAGGTGTCAGATTCCCTGGAACTGGAGTTAGAGACAGTTGCCTCGTGGCTGCTGGGAATTGAACTCGGGTCCTCTGGAAGAACAGTCAGTGCTCTTGACTGCTGAGCCGTCTCTCCGGTCCCTATGGTGAACTCTTTAGCAGCACCTACACTCTTGGCTCTGACACTGTGTCCCCTTTTCTCACAGCTAGCTATCTCTCCTATTTGAGTTCCTGTGAACTTTTAGTGTCCCTGGCATCTGCTGTGATAACACCCTTGCCATCACCTCTATCATAACCTGAGCTTCCTGAAGTGTGGTGACACTGTGACAAGCCACACCTTGTTAGGAAAGGGATCCTCACTGTGATGGAGCCATAGCTTGTAAGCATTCTTCACTGGGGAACAGGGCTGGACCTTGTCAAGCAAGGAGGTCTTCACTGGGACAGGCTGCACCTCTCTTGGGAATGAATAGGATTAATGAGACGTTTCTTCAACTATAGCCATTCCCTAGACTTCTCAGTGTGAAATGAGACCAAAGGACGTCCCCTAGATTTTGGCAGGACCTTCAGCCTATTTCCTGTCTCTTCTAGGAGACAGACTGGGAAACTAGTTGCCTTTTGATTGATTGATTGATTGTTTTAACCTTTATTCCTACATTCATTTGGTTGGGCTTTGAAAGGATGGGTTTTTCTCTGCCTCATTCCATCTTTTCTGTATTTTCCCATATTGAATCATCCTCTCCCCAAAGTGGGATTTGCCTTCCTCTTTCCCCCAAGGCTAAATTGGAGACTAGCTGCCAGGTAACCTGATTTATGTGAGAGGAACGAAAGGCATCTGTTTAATGTTTCCAAATTATTACTCCTGTTACCCCCGCATCTTAGAGGGTAATGGCCGCTCTCAGGAACTCTCCGGGTCCCTTTATAGTAGCATGGCTCAGAGCGGTCATAGAGGAAGATTTACAAGAGCTTGAGAGTCCACTATCCCTCCCTTTTCAGCCTACCGAGTACATTTTTGGCCATTGCTCCCTCCTTGAACAACCGGACAAGGGTGGATAGGCAGGGATGTTTACTCTGCAGACTGTGGTAGAAATGAGTTTAAAGCGATGGACTGGACATTCAAATGTTGACCAAATTAGTCCTCGCCATCATGCCAAAATGAGCTCCATGAAAGAACCCCCATGGAGAGGGCACGGTGGGAAAACAGTGCATTTGATCCGCGGGCGGTATCTTTAAAGTTCAGACTGACTACGGGAAGGGGAAAGCTTCTGCGAGAGGAAAGAAGTCAGTGGAGAAATTAGCAAGCGGGTCAAGTAACAGAAAGAGCAAGAGGAAGTGTGCATCGAGTTGCCTCATAACGGCCACAGTCCCAGCTCCTTTTAGCTGGCTGTTGGATGTGAACGAGACCCGGTGTGCCTCTTGTACTTAAACAGCTCTCCGTGCTCCTTAGTAAGTCTTCTGTCAGAACTGGATCCTGATTGGATGAGGAAAAACAACTATCATGAGATGGATTCAGAGGAAGGAACCAGTTTTTGTCTCCTGTGGAACTCACTGAATAAGCAGAAAAAATAAAATTATTAAAATCACTGGCCAAAAGTCGAGTATAAAATAGAAAGGAAATGGGGAGGGGCTTGCTCGAGATTATCATTACCATCTGTGCTGTGGAACATTTGATTCCAATCCCAGAAGGTTGACACAGAAATAACTTATAACTGGGGACACATGCTGTTGAATTTTCAGGAATGACAGAATTTTTGTTATTAATATCTGTATCACACTATGGGGACCATGATAGGCCACATAGTGGCCAATGGTGGAGGAAGCCATAACTGGGAACTTTGCCCTTTATCCTCACTCAGGCGGGGCCTTTTACACCCCCAAATTTTCTTCTTTATCCACTTTATGGATATCCAGAGAGAGCTTCTAATGAGTAGAGAATCCAGACCCTCTTCACTCAGGAAGTGACAGCGCTGGTCCTCGGTGGGGGCTGTTTATTATCGAAACCCCAGGCTTTGTCTGGTACTTGCAATTCTGTACGCATTCATCTTTTCATAATATTTTGGACACGTACTGAAATACTTCATACCTAGGTTTATTACATCACAGGTCACTAGTGGGTGGTCACACTGTTAAAAAAAAATGTGTCATTTGCTAGTCTGCTTCATCACTTCCCGTGTGGTCTTTTTCTAGCATGCTTGTTTTTAAATTGGGGATAATGGTTCCTGACTTACAGCAAATTATTTGCAAATACCATTTGCACTGCTGAAACAGCCTGAGCGTTGAGCTTCCAAATGTTAAATGAGGTGGTCACTTGTCTAATCCACATATCAATAAAGGACAGAGAATTGATGATAGGAATCAAAGGGCAGGGAAAAGAAATAGAGGACAGCTGAGCCTTGGGGCATAGATAATCCTAGAATTTGGTAATTTGAACAAGGTGATCATAAGTTCAAGATTAGCCTAGTCCTAACACGAGCCTGCTTTTATAAAGGAAAAAAAAAAGGTTTCTCTAACGGTGATATTATAAACTGGTAATTACATAAATAACTTTTTTAAAAAAAATCACAATTGGGAAATTATTTTGTACAGAATCATTTAATTTGTAACGGTCGTCCTCACGGTATGGTCTCAGAAGATGTAGTTTCCATACAGGTTTTATTTTTCTGCTTCTTTTAAGCAGGAGGTGGCTGCTTTGGAGAACAGAGGACGAGGGAAAGCTTAACCCTTTTAGTCCCCCACCTTCCCTAGAAGCTAGCCTCCAGGTCTTTGTGGGATTGTCCTGCAACCTGACCACGTTTCCTGTCCTGGGCCTTGGAGCTACCCCAGGCCTGGGCATGAATCCTTTTGTGTGTACAGCTGCAGGGGCAGCTTGGTCTGAGAGGAAGCAGCTAAAGGAAGAGCCGGTTCTCACTCGGGCTCAGGGCGGGTCCACGCCAGATGCCGGCCAGCCCCTTGCTCTGTAGCCTGCAGCCCCGGGCGCTCACGCTGAGCCGCTCTGCGTGAACCTCGGCAAGTCTACGAGTTAGCGGGTTGCTATGGCGACACTGGGCACGTGACCAGTCGCTGCCGCTGCTGCAGGCGCCCTGACGTGAGAGGGCGTGGCCTTCGAGGGCGTGGCCTTGGGAGGGCGGGGCCGGGCGCGGAGCAGGAGCAGAGCGCGGCTGCAGAGTGAGCAGCAAGCAGCGGGGAGACACAGCCCTTCGCCCCAGCCAGCCTCCGCGTGTGTTCCCTCTGTCGGGAGAGCGCCAATGCCTGGGCCGACCCAAACCTTGTCCCCAAATGGCGAGAACAACAACGACATCATCCAGGATAACGGGACCATCATTCCTTTCCGGAAGCATACAGTGCGCGGGGAGCGGTCCTACAGGTACTGGCACGGGTGGCTGCGGACGGACCGTCCCGTTACGTAACGCGGAGGCCGGGATTGCTTGGTTGCAGGGTCCTGTGTCGGTGGGGTGAGCATGGAGGCTTCCGCGGGCGAATAGGTTTGTTGCCTGCAAGAGGTCGCCCTCCATCTCTTCCCTGCATGCCATCTTCCCGCATCCCCGAAGGGACACAGGCTCAGCACTTCCTCTCCTCCTTCCCTTTTAGCATTTAAAGGAACCATTAGGTGGCGGGCACTAAAGGAGCAAACAAACGGGAGAATGGCGAAAGGGAGGATGGTGAGGAGCGCGCTTGCGCTTAACCTGGGGAGCATGCAGGAAAAGATGGAATCCTCTAGATGAAGCTGCAGTGTGTGATGTTAAACCGCCAGATTGATGGAGCTTTGTAAGAATTCTGCACGCTGATTGGTGCAAGGATTGACAGCAGAGGTCACAGTGTCAGACATTCACCAAAATCTCTCCGTGGAAGCCGAGGCTGATTAGAAAGAGCCTAGACTGTTTCAGACCTAGGGGTTTAAAAAAAAAAAAAAAAAGGAAAAACCAAAAACAAAAACAAAAAAAAACCCACAACGACAAAAAGGAAACCTACCAAAACCCAGCGCCGCTATGCATTTTCTGAAGAGTTTTATGGCCTCTGCATGGGTGGAGGAGTCCTTCCTTCTTATTTATACCAGAAAGGTGATTCCTTATATTTTTGCTGAGGTCTGATTTGAGGATGGGAATGCTATCGGTCATTGTATTGTAAGCCTTTTGATTAATGAGTTGCCTGTGTCGTTGGCATCATTTTTGCATTAACATATCTGGCAATATGTTCCCATAGATAAGCTCATTAAAACTGTTTGCATTGTTTAATAAGGATAACAATGTGATGCAGAATGTAGCTTGATCTTAGGCAGCTCAAGGCCAGACGTACAGGGAGACAGATAGCTCAGATTATATTTCCTCTGAAGTTCTTTTGTACTGAGGTGGTTATTTTTAAATGTAACCTTCATAACCACCAGCGATGCTTTTGCTTTAAAGTGGAGCTCACATACCTGCAGGATGCAGCCTCTGAGCCAGTGAGCAACAGGAAATAACTACATTTTAAAGTAAGCCTGCCATCTGAATTCTCAAATAATATTATGGGCAGAATATTCTGTGTTCAGATTCTACATGCACATCATAAAGGAGACTCCCAAACTCCCCACTTCCTTCCTTATTGAGCAGAGATACCATTTGTTGTCTCAAAAGGAGGGAGGTAAAAGCCACCCTCTGCCCTATTCCATCTCTGGCAGTTACATAAATACTTGAAGTTAATTTTGGCTGCCCCCCTGAGATCACCCAGTCTCACATCTTATGGTTCCAATGACTAGAATTGGCAGGGCCTCCTCACAGATTTCAAGTGATTGTTACTCTCGTAATGTAAGCCACAGTTGGTGCTCAACTTCTGGAACTTGCCTTTTGGGAATCCCGCTGTTGGAAGGTCCCTCTCTTTTTCACCTTTCTCCACTGGGTGAACCTAAAAAGAGAATTTAAAAATAAACAAAATCAAGTTGCTTTGAAAGCTCACTTATTTGAACTGTTCTTGTAGGCGATACATTTGAAGCCCTTATTTCCTGAGCATCTTAATCCCTGCTATGTCAGTAGCTGCTGCTCCTAGGATGGAGTACACATTTTACCACGTGGGCCAGAGGAAGTTGCCTAATTGGGTTTTATTACTCATGTGAACCAACTCAAAGTGGTAATGAAAAACTGTTTGCCAAAAAGGTCAAATGGGCCCTTCTTGTGGGGGGAAAATAGATAGCGCTTTATGATGAAATTGCGTTTGTGTTTTTAATCCAAGTTATTCCTTCTACTTATTAAATGATTTCTGCTTTGCTTTTTGATGTTTTATGGTCTTAAATTATATACAATTAAAACAAAGAAAACCCTAAATTTTTGGTAAAGATCTGACTACACTGGTAACTTCTCTGGAAGCCCTGTGTTCCTATTTTATAGACTAGGATTGCTGGGCGATGTAGTGAGAGACGCGTTGGCTCAGTGAAGAAAGCTGCCGGCACACCTCCATTGTGCTATATGATGTGCAGGACTCCCTTGGAAACAGACACACTGGGTGTCTCCCTTGGCCTGCTTTCTTTCAAAGTGAATGAGCAATACAATATTAACTACTGCATAGTTTTTGGAGAGACCTAAGAGAAGGGAAAAAATGTGACACATTTTTCTATCCAGGAAGCATTCCGTCCTTACTTTGGCATCCTAAGACCGGAATAATGTAGCTATCTGGTTGCTGAGGAAACTTGGAAGGCGATTTGAAAGCCACAACAGAGATTTAAGCAAGTAGAAGTTTGACCTTGGCTGTAGGCGAGGTAGCTTTCAACAGTGAGATGTGCCTGGAAGTTTTCAGTGAGGTGCCCGAGAGAGCCTGAGTGTACTGCGGGCCCTGGCAACACTAGAAGCAGTTCTGATCCTGGCTGTCACTGATTCCCAGGTCCACTCCAGCAGCCCCTCTCTCTCAGGCTTTATTTCCTGACAGGGCTTCTTACCATGAAGATTATGTAGTCCTAGTCTTTTTGCTTTTTCACTTTATGTCTGTTTTGCCTGTATATCTATGGACCACATTCATATAGTGCCCTCCAAGGCCAGAGGAGGGTGTCGTATTTCCTGGAACTGGTGGTAGAGAGAGACAGTTATGAGCCACCATGTTGGCTCAGGGAAATGAATCCAGGTCCTCTCTAAGAGCAGCCAGTGCTCTTAACTTCTGAGCAATCTCTTTAGTCCCTTTAATTCTACTCTTAGAGAGATGGAAGGCCTAAGGGCATGCATTCAGGTCTGTACACAGGGAATGTGCTCTGTTTCCAAAGAGGAACACTTTGGGGAGAGTAGACTGGAGTACGTCACCTTGCCAGCATTGCAGGCAAGAGAAGGCAGGGACCCCTAGAAAGGACAATGGCATTCCTCAAGGACCGCTAATGTGCAAGCGGTCACTCTGGTTTCTTTTCATTTCTTTTGCTGTTATTTATTTAGGGTGGCTGGGTGCACATACCACAGATGAGATTTGCTTGAGTGTGTTCTTTTCTTCACCTTGTGACTTCTGGAGATCAAACTGAGGCCACTGGGCTTGGAGGCTAGCTAGCGCCTTTACCTGCTGAGGTGTTCCCTGGGCCAAATACCAAATTGTTCACAAAAAGAATATGATGTGATCCTGGTCTAGATATCATAAGGCAGATATCAATGCATGTAAACAGGGTCCATTTTTTACAGCCTGAAGTTCAATAGGTAACAACAAATCATGATCGAAAGCCCTGTGCACTTTAATTAGAAAGCAGGATCCCCTTTTTAAAATCACGTCTGTGTTAGAAGTTGCACTAGAAGCAGTCAGGTATCAAAATGACCCAGTAAAGCCATGCGCACCCATTTCTACACCCACTGCACGACAGAGCGCCTCCAGCCCCCGCCTCCCCACCGCAGTTAGGAATCCAGATATTTTAAGAGCTGCTTAAAAAATAAATGTGGTGAGGGCCATCCAAGGTGACAATCTTTAATTCAAAGAGCGAATGAGTCGTGGCCTGGACCTCCCTGGAGAGGCTACTCCCTACAGCTCTGTTCTACGCAGATGCCGGTCGGAAATGAGATTTATTAGCTGGCCTTCTGCCCACAGCATCTTTGTTTGCATACTCCAGGCCTTTGAGACTGAGCATATAGAGAGGACCATCTCAGAATTGGTATTCCAGCATGCAACTCGTGTGTCTGAATACTTTAAGAAAAGAATTACTTGGCCCCAGGAAGTGAACTGTAAAGAAAAGCAAAAACGATAGTAATAAGCCTCAGATACTCACCTAGAACATCCAGCCTGCTTTGTTTTGTTTTTAAGTCAACTGTTGTTTAGGAACATAGAAAAATATCCTGTGTATAGATCTAGAAAATATAGGATTGTGACGTATGTTCCAATCGGTAGAAGCTATTACAGGGTGTAGGTTTCAGATGATACCCCGCAAGACCAACAGTTAGACACACCAGAGGTCTGGCTTCATCTCTCTCCATTTTCCATCTGCAGATTAGCGGCAAAGGAGCGGTTTACAAATACTGATTTTGTCTTTAGTATTTAACTTAGGGCTCATAAAACCCAGGAGGTTACTTAATGCTGCGCTAGGCACTCAACTTTGAGACTTCTTTTGGGGGGACCTTCCTCAGAGCCTCTATGAAAGGGATGTGGATGCTTGTGACTTCCGGGGGAGGCTGGCCTGCTCTGTGGTGTTTTTTTTGTGGTGCAGGAAGTCAACAGAGCGGCTGTTTGAGCTCGCCCTCTAGATTCAGGTTCGCTTTTCGGATGCAGCATCTTTCCTGTTCTTAGGGACCATGTGTAAGTGAAACAAATAATCTCTCAGTTTCCAGGAGAGGAGAGGCAATTACTGGGTGAGATAGACATTCCATTTGGATGGGAAAATTCCATAAATGTTTGATTGTCTTCTCTGGCCGTCGTCTGTGCTGGATGCCTCTTCAAGATCTCAAGTGCTAGCAGAGTCACAGGCTGGAACAGCTCATCCTCTGTCTCATCCAGTGATGTTGTCAGTCAGCTACGAGTAGTGAGTGGTTTGCATTTCCCGAGTCTACAGTGACACAAAGTAAGGAAAAACTCAAGACTTATACTCAGCAGCGATCAGGACAAGGGAGATGTGCCTCTCCTGGTGGGGAAGCAGTGAGCTTAGCTTATCTCACGAAGGGGCAAACCCTGGGGTCACCTTCCTAGCCAGCAGTCTGATTCAGGGGCTAATGTAGAGCCCTTGTACTGTCTCGATCCTCAGAAGTGCGAACAGAGTACCTGGTCCATCAGTGTGAGGGATACAGGGAGATAGGTGTGGCCCAGGCAGCTACTCAGGCTGATCCCAGAGTCCTCATCCTGTCCGAGGTCCCAGAAGTGACCTGAAAGTTTACCATGCTCATCTGAGCATGTCTTAGATTGTGTTCATTTCACTTTCAAGGACAAATAGATTTGCAACTACTTTCT